AGCCCTACACTCTTAAAGAGAAGGTTCTTCAAAGGGTTCTTCATTAAAAACAATGGTTCTATATGGAACTATGAACACTCAAATCATTTCATGATTAAAGAGTTCTTTGCATGATAAAAGCGTTCCTCAGATTGATGGAAATGTGCATGAATATGCTATAGAACCCAAAAGCGTTCCTCTACTGTTAAGATGTCGAGCCTGTGACAATAAAAAGACCCTTCTGGGTTCATTTTCCAACAGTCTGAAGAACCCTTTCATGAGGCAAAGAATCCTTTAATCATGAAGTGATTTGAGTGCTCATGGTTCCACACAGAACCATTTTCTTTACTAAAGAACTCTTGAAGAACCATCTTGTTTAAGAGTGTACTCGAGACCATGAAGCTCACAGAGCGGCTGACGGTCCTCTCTGAGGACGAAAGGAAGGAATCCCCTGATAAAGATCCATAACAGCACTACAGGATTCCCATGTGGATCATATAGTAAACAAAGCCAGTTATTATAGATCAGTGCAGGACGTAGTGTTACTGTCAGAGAACCACAGGAGGGGAGAACGTTATTGATCACAACAGAGAGTGTATATATAGCACTGTAGTGACTGTCTGTGTTTACCTGAGCTTCATTTAAACACACAAGAGACATATGTATGCATATATATGTATGTGTGTGTGTGTGTGTGTATATATATATATATATATATGTGCGAGTACAGATTTGCTAGACTGAAGTTACAGTGAGATCAGTGTGAGTCCGTCTGCGGTGTGGATGTGGTGTGGATTGTCCATGGAGATCATCATGATGAGGATTCAGAGGTGAAGTGACAAGTTTAATGATATTACAGTAATTATAAACAATTTCTACAGTTCCCTAAACACGTATTATCGACTGCTGTACTACAGGAATATTAGATATTATACAACAGTGAGTTCTGGCCACGCGAGCTGATTGGTTGAGAAGCGTTCTAACTGTGCTGTTATTTCACCATAACATCACAAACACGTCTCACTCCGCTGAGACGCCGTTGCTAAGCAACCACTTTGACAGCTGTAGGAGACGCTCAAGACATTTGAACGTTTTTACTTCTTACTTTGCCACAAACAGAAAACGGACACTTTTAAGATCACATTTGACCGACAGCCGATTTGGTCAGACTCTGAAGATGAGACGACACTAAATTCCCAAACTGTTGTATTAAACAGTAGAACACTCGAGGAGTGTGTTATCGCCAATAACATCACGGCTGTGATTTGGTCGCAGTAGATCATCACAGCCTTGACGTTATATCGTGATAACACACTCCCTCTCATGATCTAGTGCTTAATTATAATAGATCACTGTAGTATTTCCCCTTAAAGCTCAAAATAAATTCCTAAATCATAAAAAACATCTACACACAGCTCAGCAGGATTCATACGAGAATATTAAATTTTAAACCATATTAAAATATTAAAAATATTAATAAATATTAGACAATACTACAGATTACTACATACATAGTATAGTCAGGCAATATCATAACATTTTATTGTTATCGTAATAAATTGTCACAATTTCATTACAAAGCATAATTAGGCCCGTTTAATTGGATTTACTGTAATGTGTGAAACAGAGAATAGAAATTATTGTAGATATATGGAAGTTATTACTATTACTGTTATAGTTTATGTGGTCCTGCAGGTTCTATTATAACTTCTCCTTTTAGGGCAGAAAGATGAATTATTTTATATTACAATCGTAATTTGAAAGAGTACAATTTATATTATAGTCTTATAGTCTATAAACAATGCGGACGCGCTGCAGGTACAGTAACCTATTAACATGGAGCTTGTGAACTGCGTTTAGATGAATGTGACCAACCGGCGCATTACATGAAGTGTTCGAGCCTCAAGTCAGAGAAAAAATATACGCTGGTCTTTTTAGCCAATTACCTCATTTTCTAGAAAACAATCACAATTTAAAACGTTAATATTGGTCAGAAAAATCTGTTAGATATTCTAGCCTTAGTACCAAATCGTTAAACTTAAGGAAAGTTAATATCGTGTAGTGTGAAAATGTTTCGAAGTATTGCGATATGGTATTTTTGCCGTATCGATCTGCCCTAACAACACTGCTAAAGGACAGCACTACAGCGATATTAGAAATATTATAGATCACTGTAGTAATTCAGTTTAATTCATTTCAGCATCGAAAAAAAGATCAAAATACAGTCCTACACCCTGAAAAACACCCACACACATTTCTACAGGACTCATAAAATTATATTAGGAATATTACTGTAATTTTAGATAAGTACAGTTTACTATACAAGTAGTAGGTTTGAGTAATATAATACTTTACTGTTATTGTGATAAATTATATCACAATTTCATAACAAAGTGAGCATAAATAGGCCTGTTTAATTGGATTTAGTGCAATCTGTAAAGTCACTTTTAGATTCTCTCACTTATAGATGCACTGTTATTATTATTATTATTATTATTATAGTATTTTATATGTGGTACTGCAGATTCTATTATAACTGCTCCAACTGGGGCTGAAAGATGAATCATTTTATATTAATCACCCTCCGAAAGAGTGCAAGTTTTCAAATCGCATGAGCTGAAATCTTTATTAGAGTCTTATAGTCTATCAACAATGCAGATACACTGCCAGCACAGTAACCTATTAACATGGAGCTTGCGAACTGCATTCAGATGAATGCGACCAATCAGAATCAACTAAACGTCCATGTGCTGTGACATCACAACCACAAATAACTGGCAGGCTGGTGTACGGCGTGAACCCTTCAAACCTCAAGCCAGAAAAAAGTACATGCTGGTCTTCTTAGCCAATAAATGCCCAGAGCTCAATTTACAGAAAACAAACAATTTAAATCATAATCGCGACGTTGGTCCGAAAAATCGCAGTAAGATATTTCACCAAAATGGTTCAGCCTTAGTTCCTACTTGATGAAAATGAAATATTGTTTATTGTGAAAATGTTTCAAAGTATTGTGATACAATATTTCTGCCGTATCGATCAGCCCTAACAACACTGCTATAGAACAGCACTACAGCGATATTAGAAATATTACAGATCACTGTAGTAACTGTGTTTAATTCATTTCAGTATCATAAAAAGCACAGGACCACAGGATTCCTATAGGAATATTAAGAATATTACTGTCATTTTACTGTAATTTTAGACAAGTACTACAGCTTACTGTACACGTAGTAGGCTTGGGAAATATATTCTATCATCTGTGTGATAAACAATGTCACACTACCCTTTTCTGAGCACATAGTGGATATCGTCAATACTTAAAGAGCACGGATTGACTACGTTTCATTACAGAGGGAGCTGATTAGTTGGATTTAGTGCAGTTTGCTAAACATAGAAAGTCTGTAGTTGTAGGTTTATATTTATTATTATTATGATTATTGTTATTATATTTATATGTGGCACGGCAGTTTCTATTTTGACTGTTCCAACTTAATAAATCTTTTAAAAAATAATGTAACACAATGCAAATTGTTTATCGTGAAAATGTCTTGAAGTATTGTTACGTATATTTTTTCCATATTGCCCACCCCTAACACGTAAAGGACAGCACTACAGGAACATCAGAAAACAGTATAGGTTACTGTCGTAACTCTCTTTAGTTCATTTGAGCATCAGAATAAAGATCAAAATAAAGTCCTAAACCCTGAAAAACATCCATAAACATTTCTAATGAAGTCATATATGAATATTAATGACATTACAGTAAATTTTAGACAAGTATTAAAGTTTACTACGCATGTAGTAGTTTGGGAAATATGATATTTTATCATTACTGTGATAAATTGTCGCAATATGCTTTTCTGTACACTGCACACTGACTAACTACATGTTTCATTACAATTTGAGCATAATTAGGCCTGTTTAATTGGATTTAGTGCAATTTAAAACAATGAAAAAAGTTATTATTATAGTATTTCTTATATGTGGCACTTAGAGCTGGGCAATATGACGATGTACACTTTTATCGTGAAAACTGTCACAATACAATATTCATTCTGAACATTTCGTGTATATCGTCAATACCTGACACTGACCAACTGCGTGTTTAATCATAGAGGGAGCAAAATTAGTCAAGTTTAACTGAATTTACTACAACATAATATACCAAATACTGAATAAAAATCACTGTACTCACAGTTTTTCACAATATTCTGAACAGATGTCTAAAAAAAAATAAACATCGTGACAAATCATATATCGCGAAAAGTATCGTGATGTTATTTTTTCGCCGTATCGCCCACCTCTAGTCGCACTTCAGGTTCTACTTTGACTCTTCCAGCTTATTAAACCTCATATAGTGACATATCGTGTAAAAATGTCTCGAAGTATCGTGATACGATATTTGCGCCATATCGCCCGTCCCTAACAAGTAGTGTCGGTTCTTACAGGACAGCACAGCAGGAATATTATAGGAGGTGAAATGATGTAACTTATAATATAAGTACTATAATAAATACATAAATAAAATGTACAGGTTCTTATATTATCATATCTTTTATTGTGTGTAAGGGAAGCCATTCCGTTCTCCACTGTTGTCTCCATTTTGTTGTGTCTCTCCAGCCATCCACTACAACTTAATCAAACCCAGAGCAGAGAGAGAGAGAGAGAGAGAGAGAGAGAGAGAGAGAGAGAGAGAGAAAGAGAAAGCAGGGAGAGAGAGAGATAAATAAGAGACAGAGGAAGAGAAAGAGACAAGGCTAAAGTTGGCTTCCTATTCGCCAGCTTCTCGTTCGAACTTCCCCGTTCCACCTTAAATGGTGCAGCAGTTACATTGTGGCGCCTCAGGCGCCACAATGTAACTGCTGCACCATTTAAGGTGGAACGGGGAAGTTCGAACGAGAGGCTGGCTTCAGCCTCGTAGAGGAAATGGAGGAAGAGGCAGAAGCAGCAGACATAACGACACACCACAGAGCTGTTTACCTGTCTGTCTGTTTATCTGTCTGTCTGTCTGTGTGTCTGACCTGCTCTCCTGTGTCCGAGTCGTAATCCTCCTCGTCCGCGCTCAGAGACATGGCCACCGCTGTCCGCTCTCATAGCCGATCCCGCGAACACGCAGCCGTCATGGCCGTGGATCCTCCTCCGCGGCTCCTTCTCCTCTCTCTCTGCCTCTCTCTCTCTCCCTCTCTCCCTCTCTCCTCCTCTCCTCTCCGTTCCCTCGCGCTCTTCTCCTCTATCCTTTCTTTTCTCTCGCCGTCTCGCCGTGCTCTCTCTCCCGAACGGGGCAGCTGCCTGCTCGGGCGCACAGCAGCCTGCTGCCTCATGCATATTCATGACGACGGCGGCGCAGCCAATCGCAGAGCGGCTCGGCGGTCGCGTATACAGGCGGTGGGCGGGGCCTGAGCCACAGAAGAAAGCCCCCGAGATCACACGCTGCTCTCTTCACCAGGAGGAGAGACACGTGCTCGGTGCGCGACTGAGAGGGTCTGGATCAGTCTGTTCTCTCTAGAGCCCAGCAGGGAGTTCTTGCTGTACAATCATATATATATATATATATATATATTTATATATATATATATATATATATATTTTCAGAGACACAGACTCTGAAATGGTTGTAAATGTTATTTTATTGTTACAGGAAACATATAGGAGTATTTTATATTATAGGAAAATTTTTCATGCATGTTATTTTGGTACCTTGGAGTGCATGAAAAAGAAAAATGCCAAAAAGTTACTAAAATTAATTTATGAAAATGGTTTGAAAGACACTGGGGAGTAACTGAGTAATTGTGTCTCCCCTAACACCCCTTTTTAATGTATTATTATTTTTATTATTATTATTAATATTTTATTTTATTTTAATTCTTTTGTTTTTTTATGTGGTTACTGCATTGCCATTACTGTTTGTACATTTCTTGCAAAATATATATATATATATACATATATATATATATATATATATATATTTATATATATATATATATATATATATATATATATATATACACATATATGTATATATATATATGTGTGTGTGTGTGTGTGTATCATATATGTATATATATCCAAAATGGTAACTTTATGGGAGAAGAAAAAACATACTTTACTTTTAATGTAAGTCAATGGAACCAGACTTTTTTCCCCCCCAAGTCATTTTGAGCCGTTTCTTTTGGTCCATTCATCATGAAATTTACACACAGTGTAAAGGACAACAAGCATTTTCAAATTATGTCATAACAAAAATAGAGATATAAGATTTTTTTCCAACAGCAGCAATATTTATATATAAATATATATATATATATATATATATATATATATATATATATATATATATATATATATATATATATATATATATGTATATGTTTGGATACTAGGCGAATAAAAATTCTGATCATACAATATATAATGTTTATTTCCTTGTCGTTGCTATGATGACAAACAAAACTCAAAAATTCAATTTAATCTGAAACAGTGGCCCAATTTAATTTTTCAATACAGCCAAAATAAAGGAGCTTTACTTTCAAATTCTGGCGATGAAAAATGGAGAAATGAGATACAAAACATTTTTACATACAAAACAGATACATGTAGGAATGAAATGTTACGATTCTTTAGCTGGATCTCCCTCTATCACATGATGCTACCAAGCTAGGGGGGCGAAGCCTACTATCAACTTCCTCCGAGACACAGGACATCTTTTCAAACTGCAGCTAACGCAACCTCAGCCCAACACGCTCATAGGAGGACGCTAACTGCTAATTACGGCAGCTAACAGACAACAGCATTGGCTAGCATGGCGCTGAGTGACGGACGGCTGTGGCATCACTTGGGACTGACCTCGCAATGACAGAACAGACGTTTAATGGCAGCTCCACTGGCAGCTTCGATCTTATTAATCTATATGAAGAGCATGTAAACAGTGACTCGGTGTGCAAGTGGACGTGGCAGTTATACAGTTTCACTACTTATCAGTGCTGTAATACAGTTGTATGCAAAGATTTGATTTTAAATAAATAAGTCAACATCCTCTACAGAGACACACGTCTCCATTTTAAAGCTGCACTATGTAAGATTTAGGGATTTGGAGCCCTCTCTGTTGGAAATCTGTAATTGCATGCAATGTGCAGAGGAACATTTTGCAGCATGGGTTGTGTTTTGGACCCCAACAAGCGAATCCGATGATTGAGAGAGAATTCAGAGAGGACTCAGTCTAATCTTTGTGAAGGAGCTTCTGAGGATGTGAGTGAATTATCTACTACTGTCATCACATCTTCATCAGTGTGATGATTTTTAGATCATTTGAGGCCGAAACATCGAGCCGGACCTTCTTTCAGAGACTGTGTGTGACGTTAATACATAAAGACATATGATGATATCTTGTTTATGTGAAATACATTGTGTGTGAGAGTCTGACTGCAGACGTACATGGTTAATGTAAAGTACAGTGCAGATCACAGAAGAACGTTTAGTTACATGTGGAACCTTCATTACACTCAACTGAACACAGATAATAACACATATAGATAAATGCATTTTAAACATATATTTATCTAAGACATTCTTTGGCCTTTTTCATAGATTTGAAAAATATATTTGATAAAAAATATATTTAAAATATATTTTTTCCAAATGAGTATGTATGAGTTATTACTGTATGAGTTATCTCTGTATGAGTTATTACTGTATGAGTTATTACTGTATGAGTTATCTCTGTATGAGTTATTACTGTATGAGTTATTACTGTATGAGTTATCTCTGTATGAGTTATTACTGTATGAGTTATCTCTGTATGAGTTATTACTGTATGAGTTATTACTGAATAACCATTATTATTTTGACCCCAAACGTTTGAGCGGTTCTGCATTTTTATATGATTGTGTTATGATAGTTATCATAAATATAGTTTATATGTATGTTTATGGTGCTGCTGAAGATTGTTGTAGCTTTGTGCGTATAAAAACCCAGATCACACTTTTACACCAGCGTAAACTGTGACACGACAATAAATGGATTTGTTTATTTACACTGGCTTCTGTTCAGGTTTTAATCGCAGGTGAATTTAAAGTAGGTTTATAATGTGCAGTTTATGATGAGATGATCAGCATTTTCTCCAACTCTTAACACAGAGCAGTGGGGGGGCTGTAAGAGCTCCTACATTTGAATGACAATAGCCTAACATGTGACTTTTACGAGTCCATCTGCCTGTTTGACTGAAGGCATTACTAACAGAGCCGATTCTAACTTTACAACTTCATAACAGCCTCAAACGGACAGATAAAAACACACGGAGACGATCTGATCTCACGTTACCTTCAGAGACTCAGGCCGTGGTGCTGACGGCCTTTATTAGCACTTGAGGCCTTCAGTGCTGGAAACGTTTTTATTTTCTATTTTCTCTTTTTATTTACATTGTCTTTATTATTTCAAATTCTGCTTTTTCTATTCTGAAGCCCACACGCTGAAGTCTGTTGTCCATTCACTCATACCCACAGACTCCCCACCACTTACCCACACAAAGGCCGCTAACAATGCTAACAAGGCCAGAGACAATAAGGCCAGGCAGCTGGGGGTGCCGAGACTTTATCACATCTGCTCATCATTCAGCATCTGCCAGGAACTCGGCATCAATCTGAAATCTAAAAAACTAGACCGCAATTATTATACAACCGCCTGATCACAGTAATTTAACTGTTCAATCTAACCGCATTTATTTTCCACAGTCCTATGATTTCATAATCATATTGTAGGAAGCGTATCGTGTTTTCATCAGCTGGCTTGAGCTAAATAAATGTAAACAAAGGAAATCACTTCCTTTTACTGACTTCCTTTTACTGACTGTGCTATAACACCCCGTACACTACTGCTCAAAAGTCTGGGGTCATAGTAATAGCTGTTATTTAAGCAGTAGAACACAGAGGGAGTGTGTTCTCGCCAAATAACATCACGGCTGTGATTTGGTGGCCGTAGATCATCACAGCCGTGATGTTATTGGTGATAACACACTCCTCGAGTGTTCTACTGCTTTAATACAACAGTTAAATAAATACAGTAATAAATTAATAAACTGGGCCGTGAACGCGGCGTTTAATATGTTTTAATGTTCGCAGTTCCTTCACCAAATTATAGTTCCTTAACGAGCAGCTTGTTGCTCCGTCAGAGTAACGAGCTCCGCCCACTCGCTGCACAGCCGGCAGTTCGTTCTCCAGCTCCTCACACTAAATTCCCAAACTGTCATCACCACTGAGCAGCTTTTCAGTCGGCAGCTGTGACAGAAGAACAGCTGAACAACCTGGAATCAGCCAGAAATGAACCCAACACCATTCGCCAAACGTGTAGTCTGATCTTCAGAGTCTGACCAAATCAGACTGAGCCATAAAACTGCCGCAATATCAAGTTCAGCTCAGTTTTGTCAGTTTTTGCCAGATCAGTATTAATGTTGTTTTGTTCCAGCCAGTCTGTAAAGCATCTTACAGCCCATTTAGTTTGGCGAATGGTGTTGGGTTCATTTCTGGCTGATTCCAGGTTGTTCAGCTGTTCTTCTGTCTCAGCTGCCGACTGAAAAGCTGCTCAGTGGTGATGACAGTTTGGGAATTTAGTGTCGTCTCATCTTCAGAGTCTGACCAAATCGGCTGTCGGTCAAATGTGATCTTAAAAGTGTCCGTTTTCTGTTTGTGGCAAAGTAAGAAGTAAAAATATTCAAATGTCTTGAGCGTCTCCTACAGCTGTCAAAGTCGTTGCTTAGCAACGCTGTCTCAGCGGAGTGACACAGTGTTTGTGATGTTATGGTGAAATAACCGCACAGTTAGAACACTTCTCAACCAATCAGCTCGCGTGGATGAAATTAACTGTTGTATAATCAGTAATAACTCATACGGTGCAGATTGAAATGCTATAAACTGGACACCAAAACTCAAACCAACGCTTTATTCACAGTTTACAGAAACAGTTCATTCAGACTTACTGACCAGGGTATATTTTGGTTTGTCCATCTGAATTTACATGACCAAATCATAAGGCAAATTATTCAGTAATCTCACTGCATGAAAATAAATGCAAATTTTTATTTTATTTATTTTATTTTTTTTTGTAAAATACTATATGCTTACAGTTTACTGCTGAAAGCCAAAAATCTGAGACGCTCTTTGTATTATTTTATAAAAATAATGTTTACAGAGCAGATCACTGAAGAGACGCCATCTGTTTATAGTTTATAGCCCAGATTTGTGAAAAATGGGTCGACTTTCAGTAGAAAAAGAAAGAGTTCAGCTTCTTTCATTATAAGGGTTTAAAATGACATCACCATCTATTTGACTGAAGACAGTTACAGCTCTCATACAACCCCCACCTTTAGAATGTAGCTTATGAAATATGAAAGTTATGAAGAATATGACGACGTGCGTTTTGGAACCACCGGTGGTCTCAAGGAGTTAAAAAGGTTAAAAAAGACCCTTTGTATGATTAAAGGGTTCTCTGCATGGTGAAAGTGTTTATTAGATTGATGGAGAATGTGCTGTAAACGGTTCTATACAGAGCCTTTTTCAAAAGGGTTCTATATAGCACTAAAAAGGGCTTTTATATTGTTACAAGCTTGACACTGAAACACTAGCAGAACCCTTTTTTTTCTGGTGCTATATGGAACTCTTTTCAAAAAGGAACCATATACAGCACATTCTCAATCAACCTGAAGAACCCTTTAATGATGCAAAGAACCTTTTATTCATACAAAGGATTCTTTGAGTCTTCATGGTTCTATATAGAACCATTTTCTTCACTAGAACCCTTAAAAACCATCCTTTTTCATGGTTCTATATACAACCATTTGTTTTACTAAACAAATCCTTCAAGAACCATCTTTTTTTAAGAGTGTATACAATAGAAGAACCCTTTTTGGTGCTATATGGAACCATATACAACACATTCTCCATCAATCCGATAAACCGTTCACCATGCATAAACCATTCAAGCATGAAATGGTTCTATATAGAACCAGAACCATTCCTTTACTGAAGAAACCTTGAAGAACCACCTTTTTCAGTGTCGCCGACCTGCTAACTTACTGCACTTGTAGTCTCTTTAACCAACAAAAACAAACGATTTTCTCTTCATAAAACATTTAAGTATTAGGATTAAAATCTAATTTCACGTCTAGAAACGTAACTGCACAAATCCGACGTTCCCAGAATGAAGAATTAAAAAGTTAAACCTGTTTAAAAACCGTGGCCTGGTGACCCTGCGCAAACGAACCAATGCGGGACTACAAGACCCATAAAGCCGCTGCCTTGTTTGACTGCGCCGCGTTGCATTGTGGGCGCCCCAAGTTGTAGTTTTCAGCGTGAGACTCCGGCGCGGTGGCTGAAGGGGGAAGAGTGAGCAGCTAGTTCGGTGTCAGTCTCAAAACTAGGACTAGAACTTTGTTATGACACGCGAAACCGGAGCGGTTCGGATCAGTTATCAACGATAATCGACTGCGCGGTCGCGGGAGAGCGGTTCGGCTCGGTTTTGACCCTCGGGAGGAGTTTTAGGAGCAGGAGAATGAGTTTGAACGAGCACTCTCTGCAGGCGCTGTCATGGAGAAAACTCTACTTGAGTCGAGCCAAGCTGAAGGCCACCAGCAGAACCTCCGCTCTGCTCTCCGGGTTCGCCATGGTGAGAGAACCCGCCCGGAAAAGCGGGGAAATGTCTGTGCTTTGTTCGTTTGTCCGTGTAGGGGGTCAGTGTTGGGACATTTCGGCACGTTTTCACTGTACAGAACATCAACAACCAGGCTGGAGTTGGCTCGAACTCTCCGGTCCACCTTAAATGCTGCAGCAGTTACATTCCGGCGCCTGTGTTGTAGCTACAGGGTTCTAACTTATATAGCACCAAAACGTGTTCTTCTGTTATTACCTGACAGCTTGACAGAACCTCTTTTGGTGCTACAAACAACCATTTTCAAAAACGGTTCGTGTTTCCGTAGAGAACCGTTGCCTTTACTAAAGAACCCTTGAAGAACCATCTTCTCTAAGAGTGTATACAGAACCGTTTGCAAGCTCTAATGGTTCGTCAGATTGGTTTAGAATGTGTTGCATATGATTCTGTGTAGAACCTCGTTGAAAATGGCTCTAGGTTATATAGCGCCCAAAAGTTCTACCGTTACAAGCTTGACATTAAAACAGCAGAAGAACCTCTTTGGTGCTGTGTAGAACCATAAACAACACATTCGCCATCAGTCTGAAGAACCATTTCACCATGCAGATGGTTCTACGTAGAACTCATGGTTCTAAATAGAACATTGTCTTTACCAAAGATCCTTTTGAAGAAGGTTTTAAGAGTGTAGGACCTGTGGTTCTAAATAGAACCCTTGAAGAACCGTCTTTTATAAGAGAGTCAAAAGTTTGTCTTAGGATCTCAGAGTATTTTACTCAGAGTTGCGTCTTAAAATAGCTACATATTCAAATCTCTAGAACCGGTGCCTTTACTAAAGAACCAGCTAAGACTTCAGCTTCAGCCCCGTTGAGCGCACATCATGTTCTATACAGGAAAAACACGCAGAACTTCCAAGTAATTAATTATGAGGAGTTATAATTATGAGAGAGGACCTCGTTATTATGATATATGTCACAATTATGAGATATGAAGGCATAATTATGGTAATTTTGTCATTATTATATATATATATATATATACACACGTGTTTATATACACATGTATATGTGTGTATATGTAATTTTTTTTTTTCTAGTGGCAGAAACCGGCTCCTATACATATTTATCAAACATTTTCAAAAATTAAGTCATTATCTGAAAAATTAAGTCAAAATTTTGACACACTGGCAGAAAAGAGCTTCCATAATTATGCAAATTCAAGAAAGTAAGTAATTATTTTGAGATAAGTCATTATGTTGACACTCAAAGTCATCGTTTTCTGTTATTAATGCAAAATTTTGTCATTTCACTGCTAGAAACAGTTCATTCAGACCGCATATATATATGTGTGTGTGTGTATATATATATATATATATATATATATATTTAGTAAGTCATAATAATGAGAACGCTTCCATAATTATGGCTTCATATCTCATAATTGTGACATAATAACAAGGTCCTCTCTCATAATTATAACTTCTCATAATTAATTACTTGGAAATTTTTGCATGTTTTTCCTGTGTAGAACATGTGTGGTCAACAACGAGGCTGAAGTTGACGTCTTAGTTGAACTTTCTGTTCGGTTCCAACGTTCCAACTGTAACTCCTGCAGCATTTAAGGTGGAATGGAGAGTTCTACTAAGAAGTCAACTATTTGTAAAATCTGTAAACTTTTTTGAACTCTCCGTTCCACCTTAAATGTGGCAGCAGTTACAGTAACATTGTAAGTGCTGCAGCATTTAAGGTGGAACAGAGTTCTACTAAGAAGCTAACTTTTTTTGCAAGCTTCACAGTGTAACTGCTGCAGCATTTAAGCTGGAACTGAGATTTCTTCTGCAAAGTCAACTTTTTTGAACTCTCCTTTCCACCTTAAATGCTGCAGCGGCTACAGTTGTAACTACTGCAACATGTAAGGCGGAACATAAAAGTTCTACTAAGAAACCAACTTTTTTGCATTTTTTTTGTTTGCACCACAATGTAACCGCTGCAGAATTTAAGGTGGAACGGAGAGTTCTACTAAGAAGCCAGTTATTTCTTGCTTTTTTTGGTTGTCACTCAGCACCTGCCATTCATGTAAATACTGCGCCAGGCGTTCCAACCACAGTGATTATAAATTTTATTTGGATTATCTAACCACCTTCTAGTGCTTTGTTCCACATACCGGCTCTGTTAGAGCTACTTGCATGGACTTGCACCATCTCCTGACTTCTTCTTAGGTCGAGCCACAGCAGCGTTTCCCAAACTTGCTCCCTAGACTGACCTGATTCAACCCACCAGATCTTCTCTAAGCCCTCCACGAGGTCACGAGAGCAGAAGAGCACTAGAAAGTTCAGTTTGGGGGGTTAATACAGAAGCAGGATGGTGGAGCTCTGAGCTAGAATCCCTCGTATCTGTCGTGTATCAGGTTTCCGCTCGTAGCAGAACGACTGCCTGAAGCTCATTTCTACAGGAAACCTGCTCTGTAGCTGTGAGTGGCTTTAATCTTCAGATGAGAGAGAGGAGATAGGATGCATTAGTTTGCATCAGTTATCCAGGACTAAGGAGAGGTGAAAAGAACAAAGAACCCTTTTTAAAAGGGGAACCCCACTCATTTTTCAAAATTGATGTGTATTTAAACAGAGTCGTTCAGAGTGGTTTGGTGTGAAACGCTCCGTTCTAGAGTCAGAACTGTTCACAGTGGTGGTGATAGGAACCAGACGTCCACCTCTAAAAGCTCCCTCACAGAAAGTTACTACATGAAATGGTTATGAATTCACTAGTTCTAATAAAATTTTGGCTCTAAAAACCGATTAATCTAGTCAATATATGTAGCATATCTCACTTTAAGATTCTCTTAAGCGTATTATAAGATAATTTTATTCATTTTATACTTCTTTTCATCTATTTCTCACTATGTTAGCAGAAAAATTTGCTTGTTTTAAGACTATCTTGACAATTTTGCTTGTTTAAAGTCTGGAAACAAGTTGACAAGATTGCATTTGTTGCAGTGTGGGGCAAAGAAAATTACATCTTTTCAGCTTTGGCACTGTTTTCTCATCAGCAACATTCTATATAAAACTCGTGTAGGTTCACTGGTGGTTCTGGATAGTAAATAAAATGTCTATATCTGTGTTGTAGTCATGGAGACCCCTGGTTCCTATCACCACCACTGTAAAGACATTAAACCATTTCACACCAAACCACTCTGAATTGCTCTGAATTTACATTCTCAAAGTTTTGAATTTTGAAGTGTTGGTGGAATTCCCCTCCAAAGAGGCATCAAACTAGCTGCTGGTCCTGGCCAGGACCGTACGTCTTCAATTGTTAACCTATAAACTCGTCCATCAGTGGAAAACAGAGCTGATTTTGCAATGCAGGAAACGAGGAGAGTGAGGAAACTGAGTTTAACACTCCATCCCCCACCTCCACACGTCACACACACCACACTTCACACTCTCAGACCTCTCTCTTTTAATAGAACATCTGTTTTTATATTTATCATTTGGTCTTCCTCTGAATAACAGGCAGGAACGGTGGCTCTAGTTTGAAAGAGGTTAATGTTCAACACAATAATGCGCTTCTCTCACAGCTCTGTGTGTTGAATGCAGGGGAATTCACTTGTGGTTGTTTCGATGTTTTTCCACTACGACAGTAAACAGATGAACCTCCCACAGCTGCTGATTTTCGTAGCCTGTGACCTATAGACACGTACAGCCTGTTACACAGCGTCCGTATAAACAGGCTTGCTCTGATCTCACTGTGGCTTCAGTCCAGCAAATGCATACCTGCACATATAGACTGACATCCTGTACGCCTTCTATTCATATCTTGTATATTAAAGCAATAAGCGATGAAAGGCCATACGTTACAGTGTTTTTATCACAGACGCACAACGCAAAGTGGAGTAAAAGCCCTTCCCTGTGATAAAATCACTGTAACGTACGGCCTTTTGTGGCTTATTGCTTTTACAAAACGGCAGCCAACATAAAATATGATAAAATCCACTGTTTTCCAGAACATAATTTATATTAAAAATAATCGACATAAACGAGTTTTCCGCCAAGAAATGTAGTTCTTTTAGAGTACGGTGTCGCTGCTATCCAACCATGGACCACTGAATGAGGAGAACGTTCGGACCATCGCTGTTCACTGCGGTCATTTCATGAATTTTTAACTTTTTGTTGTATAACAATGAACATATGAGATCACAGCACTGTTTAATGCAGAAACCTTTGCTTTATAAGAACTTTTTGGTCACCAAATTATCACCGTGATTCTTATTTAGCACCAGTTAGGGCTGGGCGATAAAATGATAACGATAAGTATCGTGAAATAACTTTTCCTTGATAGAGCGATAAGACAGGTTCGATAAATGTTCGATATAATACACCGTTCTCACACTTCCACGTTTTAGCGAAAGCCTTGGTGGCGCTTTCTACTGCAAGGAAAGCGACACTACTCTGCTGTCGCCAGGAGAGGGCGCACTTCCGAGTTTTTCGACTTGATTGGAGAGGGAGGGGGCCACGAGTAAAAAAAGGGTCGCCAAATATACTTTAGCAACGGCTGAGACGCGGAGTTATACAGTCCCTGTCTGAGTGGAGCGACCGGCGATCTGTTCTCCTGTGACCGAGTGTGAGTGACGAGGTCAGTGGTGTAACTGTACTGTCCTACAGTGAACTCACCTCTTTCCATGCATCCTAACAACTTTAGCGGTGTTAAATCACGTCTGCAGCGCCGTTTTACAGCGCCAAACCGTCATATTTTAGTATTAGTGCATTCTCGAGCAACGAAAGTGAAAGAAAGAAGTGGTTCATGTTCGAAAGTAAACTGAGGAAGCTGTGAGGCGTTGGAGAGCGGGAGAGCGCTGTCTCTCCAGGCTAGCTGTTTTTAGCTGCTGGCTAATTGAAGCAGCGCTCCGGCAAAACACGGTGAATTGATGATACTGTAGATCAAACAAGACACAAAATCACTGCTTTCAGTTTAAACATGCCTAAAAGGAGGACTCTGTGACTGGTGTGAGAGATTCACACTGCAGATAATGCTTTTACACAGCGAGCGTCAGATATACTGCGGTTCACCCCTTAAACTACTACGGTAGCATAGAGAAACCCAGCCGTCTAGCTGGAGTGACAGCAGTGACCTCCCGAACAAGCTGATAAAAACAGCTCAGAAACTTTCTCCCACTGACCCAAGACAGATTAGTGAAATGTTCCACTGCTTGCCGAGTGTTTGTGATGATCGGACCGTAAGTGATAGTTTAAAACCACAGTTAACCCCCCAGGAGCAAAATCAGCCTTCAAACATGAAAGAAATCATGATTTGACATTTATCGCGACATGTATCGCTATCGAACGATATGAGTTTTGTTTATTGTGATAAGGTTTTTGGCCATATCGCCCAGCTCTAGCACCAATCCAGCGGCGCCCTCTTCTCACACTCGGGCTGAATCTCAAATGGCTCCCTGCTCCCTACATAGTGCACTACGTAGGAGTTTAAATACTGGATCCTGCAGCCCAACAGAGCAGAATACAGCTAAGAAACAGTCATTTGGGACTCAGACTCATCCACACTCGATACATAATGCACTGTTTAACTGTAGAGGCTGGAATTTCTAAACTTTCACAGCTAGAACACTATTTAGGGAGAATGGAGCCGTTTGGGATTCAGCCTGGTAGTAAAAATAGTTTAAGCGTTTCCATAAGAAAAGTGTGAGATCTCATCGTTATTCAGCTCTGTTCTAGATCACAGCACCCTCTCAGCAGTCTCTCAGTGCAGAAGGAGAACTCACGCTTTTCTCCTTCATATCCAGAACGTCTCGCAGTGAGATCGCTGATGTTAATCTCCTCTTTTCTCCTGAGGAGGTTCCGGAGAAACAGCTCAGAAACCAGTGATTCCTCATTAATATACTACTGAGATCTGCTTTAATTCCATGAGACAATCTTAAGACAGACTGTCCCAAACTACCAAATCAAGGCTGATAATCAATCAGTACGTCTGTTACCTGGTAACCGCCAACCTGTGCACATCTAAAACATAAACACATAATCAAATAACATCAAATTTGTAACTGGACAGGTACTTTGAGGTGCGTGAAATGGCAAAAATATAATATCACAATACTGCAGGATATTTTTTCAGACATCTGATCAGCTGGAACAGAGGAAAAAATTACTGTGTGGGACTAAAGCTGCATTCCAGAGCCTGGGCTGCAGCTGAGGGAGGGCAGGTCCTCGGTAGGACTGTCCTATGAAGACTCCTCTTTAGTAGTCTATTGGTCACACAAATGGAGCAGTCCTAACGAGGCTGCGTGGTGACGCCACCAGAGCGGCGCCAAACTCGTCAGAGAACTGGTGAGAGATAGTGGAGCTCGTTGCGTGGAGTTTGTTGCTTTTTCATTTTTTTAGGGAAATGGAGGAGATGATCTTATGTAGTACGATAAACTACAGACACACATACTTCTAAATAAAATCTGATATATGGAAGATATACACCGATCAGGCATAACATTCTGACCACCTCCTTGTTTCTGCGCTCATTGTCCATTTTATCAGCTCCACTTACTATATAGGTGCACTTTGTAGTTCTACAGTTACAGACTGTAGTCCATCTGTTTCCATCTGATACTTTGTTACCCTGTTCTTCAGTGGTCAGGACCCCCATGGACCCTCACAGAGCAGGTACTATTTGGGTGGTGGATCATTCTCAGCACTGCAGTAACACTGACGTGGTGGTGGTGTGTTAGTGTGTGTTGCGCTGGTCTGAGTGGATCAGACACAGCAGTGCTGCTGGAGTTTTTAAACACTGTGTCCACTCACTGTCCACTCTATTAGACACTCCTACCTTGTCAGTCCACCTTGTAGATGTAAAGTCAGAGACGATAGCTCATCTGCTGCTGCACAGTTTGTGTTGGTCATCCTCTAGTCCTTCATCAGTGGTCACAGGATGCTGCCCACAGGATGCTGTTGGCTGGATATTTTTGGTTGGTGGACTATTCTCAGTCCAGCAGTGACACTGAGGTGTTTAAAAACTCCAGCAGCAGAAATGCAGCCCAGACTTTGGACCGCAACTTATATATGTACTTATATCTTATACATCAAAGCACTGACACACAGCATCACTCTCTCATTCTGGATGAACTTTATGCAAATGAACTGAGCAGTGTCCAGTCAGGTTGTTGATTTGTGGTGCTGTAACTGAAATAAACAGCCTGTTTACCTAAATAAACATGCTTGAATATTGTTGATCTTTTATTATTCATGCCGTCACACACGGCTGGTTAAAACAAGAAAGCGGCTGGTAAAGAAACTTCTGTTCCAGCCCTGTTAAACTGATGCATGGAGAGTAACCGATCCACACGGACATGATTTGAGACGGAACGGAACAAACCGTGTTCTCCTCTGTTCTCTTGACACGGTTAAGGCCTCAGCGTACGTCTTGCAGAGACGACGTTCATCTGGCTTCAGTGAACAATGTATGTGATGATGTAGCTGTTTGCTGAATAATTCTGGGCAGTATTTTTTTTCTCGCAACTGACAAGCTGGAGCAGACAAAGTAGCACCACATTTGGGGGAAAATAATTGCATAAAAAGTTATGAATATAGCTATTCCACATTTTACACACTGCGCTGCACTAAATCCAGTCAAGCAGGCTCTCTTTGACATCAAGCGTGCAGTTGGGAAGTGTTGTTGAAGTACTGACGATGTCAGCGATGCACCCAGAGAAGCAAATTGTGGCATAATTTGTTACAGTAATGATAATAATTGTCATATTTTTGGCCAAACTACAGCTCTTTCTGTGTTCCAGGTGGCGATGGTGGAGGTCCAGTTGGAGCGAGATTACTCGTACCCTCCAGGTTTGCTGATAGCGTTTAGCGCCTGCACCACCATCCTGGTGGCCGTGCATCTCTTCGCTTTAATGATCAGCACCTGCATCCTGCCCAACCTGGAGGCGGTCAGCAACGTCCACAACCTCAATTCGGTCAAGGAGTCGCCCCACGAGCGGATGCATCGCCACATCGAGCTGGCCTGGGCCTTCTCCACCGTCATCGGCACCTTCCTCTTTCTAGCGGAGGTGCTGCTGCTCTGCTGGGTGAAGTTCCTTCCGCTGAAGAAGCACGACAACGGCCAAACGCTGACAGACAACTCCACGGTCAGCGCCGGAGAAGCCGCGGCCTACGCGTCGACGGCCATCATAGTTCCCTGCGGCCTCGTCCTCATCGTCTTTGCCGTGCATTTCTACCGCTCGCTCGTTAGCCACAAAACTGACCGGCAGTTCCAGGAGCTGGAGGAGTTGTCCAACATCACGCGCCTCCAGAACGAGCTGGACCATCGGGTGGATGCGCCAAACATTCAGACGGCTCCGGGACTCTTCCCCTAGGGTGGACGCGGTTGGCTTCCGGTCTGACCGTTCGCCAGCTAGACACACAGTAACTTATGGAAAAATCAGATTTATACAGTTTTCTAATTCAAATGTAGTCGATCAGCCAGAAAGTTGTTTTTAGTTTTAGCGCTGGAGCTACGAGGCTAATGATGCTAACAAGTAATAGATGCTTGTACTCCACTTAGGCTGTGTTCACATGACCAGGCTGAAGTGGCATAAATCCAGATTTTTTCAGATCTGATTATTTCAGAGCAGTGTGGACACACATCTGATCTTTTCAGATCACTTTAATATGTGGTTCTTGATCAGATATGTTTCCGATTCATGGTAGTGCGATCTTAAAGTGAACGCTCAGATCAGAAATCGTGTGCTCATCACGGTGCATCTTCATTCGGCGTTACCATGGCAACAGGGCCGAAACTGAGGTTGGTTTCAGAAAACATTGCAAAAGTATCTGATCCTATTTCACTTTCATCTCGTGCCAATAATGACGCAAATAATGACGCTTATCATCGTGATGAAGGCTTGTTTTGGTGCATGTGATTCATTCAGGTGACGTTATTGATTAGCATGTGCGCCTGCGGGTCGTTTCAGAAAGCAGGTTCACATTAATGACAGATTTTCGTCACTTATCTACTGAATTGTGAACCGATGAGTCAGAAAGATTCGGATCTGGGCAAAAAATCTGAATTGAACAATGAGGCTCATAATGTGAACGTAACTTTAGCATCATGCAAACTGGATTCCTGAAGCCCCTTTCACACGTGCACTATTACACGGGAATTTTAACGTTAATTAAACATCAATTTCCCTTTTTTTGGACCATTATTGTGATTATTTTATATAATTTAAGGTCCTGGGCTGATATTACGGAAACACCCTCTCTCTGAATTCATGACTGGATTTAGAACAGTAGCTAATACAGACAAAGCTGTCTGATCAAAAATAATGACAAGATTGTTTCATGAATCTTTTTCCACGAAGTTGAGATGCTTGCAGCTGTTGCGGCTGAGTTTGAAGTGAGTTGCAGGACACTTTACTATATAAGTTTGTAATCTGATCCTAACTCCAGATAAGAAGACAGTGTTAGGCTGGCTTTACGCGGTGAAACATCCATGCAACTTCACTTGCTTTAAATATACATGAAACTAAAATGCACTTGAGTTTTATACTATAAAGCATCCTGCAACTCGCTTGAAATCTCAGCCGAAAAAACTTTTATTAAACAGTCAAGTTATTTTTGATTGGGCGTATAGTTTTGGTACATTGATCAATAAATGACAATTTTACAGGTCCAGTAGCAACATCTTATTAATCATGCGGGATACTGTGGTGACTATCTAGCAATCTCCTAGCAACCACCTGGGATATCATTGCAGCACCCCTAGCAACCATCCTAGCAGCTATTGTAAAATACCATAATAACTGCTTGGCAACACCCTAGCAACCATCTGGGAATTGCTTAAGCTCTTTTAGATTTTGGTGTGAACAGTTCCTGGGAACTGAACGTGTGAAGGAGACTTAGACTTAGAATGAAATCAGACTACTGTGTTTAGCTCTGCTAATGTACTTCAGTCCATGTTTATAGGTAACAGTGAGTCATACAGTGTCAGAAACCACAGAATCAAGACTGTTATTGATTACTGAACAACCTTAGAGACAGTATGTGATGATTTAGGTACACAGTTAGCACTGTGCTAATCGCTAATATGAGCTTCCTTTACTTCTTAGCTATGTTAGCCTTGTAGCTCTAGTGCTAAAACTAAAGAAGCAAACTTGTCATGACTGACTGATCGACTACATTTGGAGTGGAGGTGTTGGGGTTGTATACATTTTTATTTTTTTGCTGGACTGTCCCTAGAATTTTATATCGGCTGGTTCTTCCAATAGGACAACTTTTAAAATGTTTCATACACCGTTTCTTGATTTCTTGAAGCTTCTTCAGCAGAATGGAACGGAAATATAAAAATATTTTGATTTGATTTTTAATTTTTTTTTATTTTATTTTTTATTTTTGCATGCTCAGACTGCAAGAGTACAGTACGTTATTAATTTACTTAATTAGTACTTTTTGTGACGCTCTTTTGTGTGTGAATCTACAGATGTGGTCTTTTTTCTCCAAAATCTGAGCTGTTTTGAAGAGCCAGTGCCGTCATGATGTTTCGACAAGATATACGTTGTCTCTGATGGCATAATGTTTAAAGATGTGCCAAAATAATCTATGTAATATTCATATTTCCCAATGTACAGTATCTCTGCTAACGTTATTTTTTAGTCCTTAATAATGTTTATTCTTATGTGGCAGAAATATGGGAATTAGCCAGGATCAGTAGATTTACAGTGGTCCCTATTTTAAAGTTAAAGCAGAATTCCACTATTTTTTTCAGAATTTCCCCCATAATTCAGTGTGTGAGGTGTAAACAGAGAGATTCAGAGTGGTTTGGTGTGAAATGGTTCAGATGTCTTTACAGTGGTGGTGATAGGAACCAGGGGTCGCCATGACTACAACACAGATATAGACATTTTATTTACTATCCAGAACCACCAGTGAACCTACACGAGTCTTCTAAGTTTATGTGGAATGTTGATGATGGAAAAATAATAAGTTTTCTTTGGGGACTATTTTGCCTCACAGCGCCCTGCATGTATCCCTCCACCATGAATGGAGTTTAAGTTCTCTAAACTATCATAAAACAGTGTCTCAGTCATCAGGCAGTGAATTCATAACCATTTCATGTAGGAACTTTCTGTGAGGGAGCTTTTAGAGGTGGACGTCTGGTTCCTATCACCACCACTGTGAACAGTTCTGACTCGGTAAGTTTATCTAGAACAGAGCGTTTCACACCAAACCACTCTGAATGACTCTGATTACATCTTAACCACTTAATTATGCAGGAATGTTTAAAAGCTGGTGGAATTCCCCTTTAATGAAAGCATGTCTGTGGAGAACATTGACTAACTAAAATTCAGGCTGTATATCTCTAAATAGGTAAGATGTACAGATACAGGCTATTTTTCAGTAAATGTACACAGAGTGAAGATGATATCTTTATTAATGCACAGCAATGAAACATTACATGGTCTTAAAGTCCAGGCTGGAGCCATGATTATAGATTTGTAGATATTTGCACATTACAGGTCAGTTTCCCAGACATGGACTAAGCTTAAACCCAGATATAATTTAGGCTAAACTCAGTCCATGTCCGAGAAACTGACCCACCAGGTTATACGGAAAGGTACAGATGGTTAAGTTTGGGGGGAGTGCAATTTTAAATGTGGTGATATCGCCCTCACTTGTAATATTTTAATGAATCCTGTGTGAGAATATGATTTAATACCCCAAAAAAAGTCTCCAAGTTACAGAACCACTATAATGCAAACGTAATTAGAGCCAGAGTGAATACTGTAGATTTAGTTTTATTTATTTTTATTATGCATTTTATATATGTTGTGTATTTACTTCACTTGTGCTACTGTCTAAAGATGGTTCTTCAAGGGTTGTTCAGTAAAGGCAGCTGTTCTGTTTAAAACCAGGAGTTCTGTGTAGAATTATTTCAGGCTTAAATGGTTCTTCAGTTCGATGCTGAATGTATCATACATGGTTCTATGTAGCACCAAATGGGTTCAGCCATTGCGAAGTTAAGCTTTTAACCCTTCTTGGTTCTATGTAGAATCATTTCTTTGCATAGTGACATATTCAGTTTGAGGGAGAATGTGTTGTATGTGGTTCTATATCAGTCTGAAGAACCATTTCACCATGCAGAGAACAATTAAAGCATGCCAGTGGTTCTACATAGAGCTTAGGGTTCTAAACAGAACCATTGCTTGTACTAAATAGTCCTTAAAGAACTGTCTTCTTTTTAAGCGTGTACTGCTCTTCTGTCAGCAGCACCAAACATGATCTGGCTCATTTGGATGGAAAAGCTGAGCTTAGTTAGCTCAGTTAGCTCAGTTAGCCCGGTTAGCTCAGTTAGCTCAGTTAGCTCAGTTAGCCCGGTTAGCTCAGTTAGCTCAGTTAGCTCAGTTAGCCCGGTTAGCTCCATTAGCTCCATTAGCTCAGTTAGCTTAGTTAGCCCGGTTAGCTCCGTTAGCTCAGTTAGCCCGGTTAGCTCCATTAGCTCAGTTAGCTCAGTTAGCCCAGTTAACGTAAGAGCACTGTATTCCGTGCAGTACTTCGACACTTTTCGCGTTTCAGTAGTTATTGCGTAAATACCCGAAGTCATACACAATTTAATGATTGGTTGGACTCTGCAAAATCTGCCTAGCAACCAATATGCACTTTGATTGGTCACATTTGGGCCAATACTTTTAAAGAAATAAGAAAAAAACATCATCTGTGTTGCCAGTACTCCCTACACCAGCTTCCACAGAGGGAGCAGTTTTCCCTGCAGTGTTTTCCCTGCAGTGTTTTCCCTGCAGTTTATTAGAAGTTTTATGAAATCTAATTGCATAAAAATAGACATTAACTGATTATACTTATTATAAAAGTGAATTAATATAAACAATGTGTGCAGTGAATGAGGCTACCATGAAAAAAGCCCAGTAAAGTGAGTCAGTGCTGTGAAGCTGCGCAGCTGAAAGGAGTCTGCTGAGGTAAATTAGCTGACGGTGTAAACTCAGATTAACAGCTCAGTACTAAACACGCTGTGTTTCATGGTGATGATCCACTGATTAATATTCGTTTTAGTGTTAAATATGATTGAACGTGCTAAAATGCATTTTAACTGGCCGTGAAAGTTTCCCCACCCCACTCACATTCGCATCCCTGGGTTTCCCCACCCGCCATGTTTGTGTGGCGCCGGGGGGGTCGGTCACTATCTGCATAGATTTGATGTCCAAACCCAGCTTAGATGGTCTTTCCAACCGATTTGATGGAAAAAAGGATATATGATAACGTCTCAGATGTATCTGACAAATGTCAAGAAAGTGGTTTTTATTACACAGACAGAAATATTTGCAAGCGTACGGAATACTGAAGCGTATGGAATACTGAAGCGTACGGAATACCGTGCTCTTACGTTAGCCATGCGAAAACAATGACCTGAGCACAGTTTTTAATCTCATATTTAATATCATCTTAACTTTTCTGAGCTGATTTTAAGTGATCACGTTTAAAAATGGAGCAGTGTTGTCGTCTGCAGCAGTATACTGTGACTTGCCGTTAGCCTAGCTAGCACAACGTAAACACTTAGCTAGCAGGGTAAATAAAAACCTGCTGCTGGTTATTTTTACAATCATGGACAAATTTAATGTTTATTTTATTTTATTTTATTATTACTAAGTATTTGCTCAAATACTGCCAATATTGATTATGGAGTAAATATGCTGTACATGGCTAAACTGCTAAAAAAAATATAATAGAAACCATAAAGTTAACAGTTCTATGTGGAACCATGAACACGCAAAGAACCATTTGCGTGATTAAATGGTGGTGTAATTGCTCTTCAGATTAAAGGAGAATCTGTTGTGCGTGATTCTATACAGAACCTCTTCACAAATGGTTCTGTATAGCACCAAAAAGGGTTCTTCTATTGTATACAAGCTTATAGCAGTAGTGGAACGTTTTTTGGTGCTGCGGCACATTCTCCATCAATCTGAAGAACCATTTCACCACCAATTAAGCACGCAAATGGTTCTGTGAGTAATAATGGATATATAGAACCTCTGTCTTTACTAAAACTTTTTAAAGTGTAAGAGCGTAGTTAGCTGAGTATAGCTAGCATTTGCTCAGGTCACTTATGGTTTAAAAAGTGAAATACTTGCATTTTACAGAATAAGGCTTTACTAAACGCTCCATCACAGTTAAAAGGACAGTTAAAACAGCATCCAAATATTTTTCTTTATTGATTTTTTATTTAGCATGTTGTTTTTTTCCCCTGCTTTCTTACAGATAGTACCTTTTCCCTTTAATAATGAGTGAAGCCCTTTAACGGCTGCAGTCATTTCTGTTTATTTGATTAAAATAAGCCGCAGCAGATCGAGGGGGAAACGTGTGATGTTTAATTGATGCTGATGCTGTTTATGTTGCAGGTGAATTTATGCTATTTATTGAAAGCAGTCACTGTATGATGATGGTTTTGTGGTGAAATGAGGCTTTTACAGCGTCGTTCACTCTCTTCTTAGCTGTGATGCTGAATAGTAAATGATAAAGTATAATATATATATTTATATATAAAGTACATGTTTTAAAATCCCTGTTTACTTTAAAAAATGACCAGTGTACTCATTTTAAATGAAGCAAAAAATTCTGAATGTTAATGCCAAAATATTTTCAATGCTGTTTGAACTCCTGTTCAGTGTAATTGGTTACAAAACACACACAATACACTTTATTATTACAAAAAACGTCCCTGAGCTTGATTTGATGGTTAATACAGAACAAACACAGTCATGATCATATCTGGACGAACATGTTCTTTCTATAAATGATGTACTGCACACATTAAATAACAAAAACACATGAGCAACTTTTATTTTGCCATGTATAACCTGAATTATAGAGATTAAAAGATTAAAGTTTACTTAAATGTGTCTGTTTAGTGCAGACGTGTTCCAGACTCTGATCTATACTGCATTAATATTACTATATCTAATATTGCTGTGCTGTAAAGCCTTCATATTGCTGTAGTTTTTAATATTAATGTAGTGCTTAGTGCTTTAATATGACTATATTTAATATTCATGTACTATAATGATACAGCATTACTATAATATTATATCAGTGCACTATAATATTACTACAATGTGTACTATAGTGCTTTAATATTACTGTAATATTTACATTTAACCTCTTTCACCTTGTACTTCAGTGGTCAGCACAGAGCAGGTACTATTTGGGTGGTGGATCATTCTCAGCACTGCAGTAACACTGACGTGGTGGTGGTGTGTTAGTGTGTGTTGTGCTGGTCTGAGTGGATCAGACACAGCAGTACTGCTGGAGTTTTTAAACAGTGTCCACTCACTGTCCACTCTATTAGACACTCCTACCTTGTCAGTCCACCTTGTAGATGTAAAGTCAGAGACGATAGCTCATCTGCTGCTGCACAGTTTGTGTTGGTCATCCTCTAGTCCTTCATCAGTGGTCACAGGATGCTGCCCACAGGACGCTGTTGGCTGGATATTTTTGGTGGTGGACTATTCTCAGTCCAGCAGCGACACTGAGGTGTCACACACACTAACACACCACCACCACGTCAGTGTTACTGCTGTGCTGAGAATGACCCACCACCCAAATAGTACCTGCTCTGTGGGGGTCCATGGGGGTCCTGACCACTGAAGAACAGGGTAAAAGGGGGCTAACAAAGTATGCAGAGAAACAGATGGACTACAGTCTGTAACTGTAGAACTACAGAGTGAAACTATATGGTCAGTGGAGCTGATAAAGTGGACAGTGAGAGGAGAAACAAGGAGATGGACTTAATGATGTGCTCGGTCAGTGTTTAGTGCTTTAATTTTACTAGAATATATAATATTAGTGAACTATAGTGCTCAGCTCTTACTATAAGTAGCTGCACTGGTTCACATGGACCCTCATACAGCAGCGCTGCTCGTGTGGTGAGACTGCAGTGTGTGTGTTGTGGTCTGTGTGTGTGTGCTTGTGTATGTGTGTGGTCAGTGTGTGTGTGTGTGTGCTTGTGTATGTGTGTGGTCAGTTTGTGTGTGTGTGTGTGTGGTCAGTGTGTGTGTGTGTTCCTCTGCTGCTCTCAGAAATAAAAACAGATTCACTCACAGTCGTTTTCACAGTCACTCCAGTCTGCAGTGTTACTTCACCCATCAGCACTGCAGAGCTCACTGCTCAGTTCTTTAACTGTGGACACTGACCGGACCGGACTGGACCAGCTGGACCGTCTTATAAAACCACACACACACCACAAGATGTCATGACCTAGAACAGCTCTGCAGTTTCTCACGCTCACAAACGACTTTCAGTTTTGCACTCATCGTTGCCCGTGATGGAGGAGACTGTCTGTCTGTTTTTCTGTGTTTCTATCTTCTTGTCTGTCTTTCTGTTTGTCTATCTGCCTGTTTTTCTGTCTGTCTGTCTGTCTGTCTGTCTGTCTATCTGCCTGCCTGTCTGTCTGCTTGCCTGCCTATCTGTCTCCCTGCCTGTCTGTCTGGCTATCCACCTTTCTGTCTGTCTGTCTGCCTATCTGTCTATCTGCCTGCCTGTGTCTCTCTGTCTATCTATCTGTTTTTCTATCTTAATGTCTGTCTGTTTCTGTTTTCTATTTGCCTGTCTGTCTTTGTCTGTCTGCCCCCCGTCTGTCTTTTTGCCTATGCGTCTTTCTGCCCATCTGTCTGTCAAGCTGCTTGTCTGTCTTTCTGCCAGTCTGTCTTTCTGCCTGCCCGTCTGTCTGTCTGTCTGTCTGTCCAGCTGCTTGTCTGTCTTTCTGCCTGCCTGCCCATCTGTCTGTCCGTCTGCTGTTTCTTTGGCAATGGGTTTAATTGTGGATCGTCAAGCTTGTTACAATAGTAGAACCCTTTTTGGTGCTATAGAGAACCTTTTTCAAAAAGGTTCTGTATAGAACCATCTACAACACATTCTCCATCAATCTGAAGCAGCAACTACACAATCTACATTAAACGAACATAAAACAGAACAAAAGTAACAGAAGTGTGAGTTAAAGTAAACAGAGAGTGATTTATTGTTGTTTATTGTTGTTTATTGTTGTTTATTGTGATTGATGTTGTTTGTTTCCACTAATACGCTGGAGTAAATCATATTGTTTGTGAAATTACACCCACTGACCACAAGGTGTCAGTGTCACACAACCACACAGCTCAGAACAGACCTCAGGTATTATTATCGCTCCTCTGTGAGGGAAGATTGATCAGTTAAAGAGAGGAAATAAGGATGAATTTGCTTCATCTTCACTAAACAACTGTGCAGATGTGGATCACACTGTACAGAACCACCGTCTTTACTAAAGAACCCATAAAGAACCATATTTTATTAAGAGTGTAGTCTAGTCTGTCTCCTTTAACCCACCGTCTTCATCTGTTTGGAGTTAATTAAATGGTTTATTATCATACGAGAGGCTTTTTAAACACTCAGTGTCTCATTCTGAGAAGTGTTTTCAGAAATTCATCATTTTAATCATGACAGTGTTGAGTTAAGGACGTGTTTAGTTTATATAAAAGCATTTCTGTGGAGTTGAGACTGAAGCTGTTCAAGACGAGATTAATTCTCTTCATTTTGGGTATTTCTGATTATTATAGTGGCACAAGATCAGATTAAAGTTACTTAAATTCAGATGAGGTGCCTTAAAACAGTGAACCAATCAATGATTTTACAATGCGAAGATTATTTACAGCACATAATCTTATTAAGTATATTTTTCTCACCGTATTGGCAGATAATTTTGCTTAATGTACCTTTTTTCTTTTTGTGTTGAACGCAGATGTTTTACAGTGTGTGTGGTGATTCTACAAACACAAACATGCTTATTTCACAGATAAAGGCTCTGATTGGTGTGATTAGGGGCCTAAAACTTTTACACAGCGCTGTATTTCTTACACAGAGGAACACTTTTCTCTGCACTCCCACGAAGGATGGTTTTGGATGATCTTGTTTAAGAGTGTAGTTTAGCATGTCTCTGTGTGTGTGTGTGTGTGTGTGTGTTCTTGTACTGCTATACTTGTGAGGACCCCATGTCCTCACTATGATAGGAATATATGAATTTTTTCTCAAGTGAGGAGCAGCAAAATCTGCTCACTTGAGAAAAAATTCATATATTCCTATCATGTCATCCTATATGTGTCGTTTTCACCCCCATTACTTTTTTATTTGAAAATTAAAAGAGCAGAAAAATTGCCTTTTGAATACTGAGGTTAAGGTTAGGGTTAGGTTTAGGTGTAGTGTTTTATAGCTACAGTAACACAAAAATCAATAGAAACCTATGGACGTCCTCATATGTATAGCAAGACAAACGTGTGTGTGTGTCTGTGAGGGTTGTGTGTGTGTGTGTGTGTGTGTGTCTGTGAGGGTTGTGTGTGTGTGTGTGTGTGTGTCTGTGAGGGTTGTGTGTGTGTGTGTGTGTCTGTGAGGGTTGTGTGTGGTGTGTGTGTGTGTTTGTGTGTGTGTGTGTGTGTCTGTGAGGGTTGTGTGTGTGTGTGTCTGTGAGGGTTGTGTGTGTGGTGTGTGTGTGTGTGTGTCTGTGAGGGTTGTGTGTGTGGTGTGTGTTTGTGTGTGTGTGTCTGTGAGGGTTGTGTGTGTGTGTGTGTGTTTGTGTGTGTGTGTGTCTGTGAGGGTTGTGTGTGTGTGTGTGTGTCTGTGAGGGTTGTGTGTGTGTGTGTGTGTGTCTGTGAGGGTTGTGTGTGTGTGTGTGTGTGTGTGTGTCTGTGAGGGTTGTGTGTGTGTGTGTGTTTGTGTGTGTGTGTGTGTGTGTGTGTGTGTCTGTGAGGGTTGTGTGTGTGTGTGTGTTTGTGTGTGTGTGTGTGTGTGTGTGTGTGTGTCTGTGAGGGGTGTGTGTGTGAGGTTGATTGTTCCTCTAGAAGGTCGTTGTGATTGAGATAAGCTCTCCAGGCGAGGGGGCGTGGCCTCTGCAGGTGGAACCACACCTGGGAATTTCCATCACTGTGTGAGTAAAGGTGAAGGTCAGAGCCCTGACTGAGAGTGACCACTGTAGCTGTCTTTAGGAGGTGCATGATGGACTTAAAGGGTCACATCACAGAAAACCGAATTTGGATGTAGTATGTAGACATTGTTGAAGTTTCAAAACGAGCCGTTCACTCCTGCGTCCATATATAGAATCTAATCTGTTTCATCTGTTTAAATTCATTTGTTTTGTGATGTCACATGAACTAATTTACATATACCTGCCTATTCAGCCAACAGTCATTTAGCTCCACCCACTTACACTGAAGTTACAAGGCGTGTTTCAGCCTGCACTGCTTTTGGAATGAGGGCACAGTACAGGCCAGCCAATCAGAACAGAGCTCATTTACATTTATCAGCATTAAAAATACAGTGCTGATCTAGTTAGTTAAGAACACCAGAGACAGAAGCTGATTGTGGGGGAAGCAGATAAACAATCAGCTTCACTGAGTCTGGATTTGAGTATAATGTCACAATGAATTTTCTGGGACCCCCCAGAATTTTGACATTCAGGGGGTCCTAGAGGTTAATTAGGGAGTCCTGGACCCACCTAGACCCCCTGTATTTCACACCTTGGTTACTCCTCACTGTCTTTTGGTCATATTAAGTGAATCAGCTTTACATTTTTACTTTTAATGCTGGGTTGTAAATGTCCAGGCTGTGGTCAGTGTTCTGTGTAGCTCAAACACACGACAACATTTTATTTTTATTTGCACTATATAAATACACTCTACCCCTCAAAAGTTTGGGTCCCTTGTCATAATAATAATAACTGTTATTCAGTAATAACTCATACAGTGTAGATTGAAATACTATAAACACCAAAACTAAAACCAACACTTTATTCACAGTTTACAGTGTTTTGGGAACAACAAAGTTACGACATGATAGAAATATGGAAGAGTTATTAAATAATAAGCTATAATTTTCTGTTTATTCACTAAAACTCTCTGATGATCTGTTTAATTAGTGAGGTTTTCACATATGAGTCATTGTGGGTGTCAGTTTGTTTATCAGTTCATTCTCAGTGCTGTACAGATTTATCAGTGATCATTAAATCACTCACAGCTCTTTTTATCATCAAAACATCTTCATTTTCAAAACTTCATACAAACTGACTGACACTAAGAAATTAGTTTCATCATAGAATCATTTTATACTCACATCTTCAGAGAAACTGGTTTATATGAATGAAATCAGCAGCACTAAACTTTTAAACAGTCGCATTACTGTTTATTTAAATTATATAATGTTAAATTATATAATGTAAATTCTAAAAAAAGTGTCACTTGTTAAATTATATAAATTTTATGTATGAACAAATTAAAAAATCTAAACATATATATATTTTTTATTATTGATATATATATATATTTATCTCACTCCTCTGCTGTTTTTACTTGGTATTTATGGAGTGTTGTACAGTAACTGTAGTGTGGGAGGCAGAGCAGAGCAGAGTCTCACTGTACAGGGTTTCTGAGTGTTTCTCTATGCGAACGACAATAAATAATAAATCTTAATTACTTCAGTGTTTTGTGCATTAATACCACTAACTTTAACATTTACTGTACAAAAGCATAAAAACACACAGATCAGCACAGTCGTCCCACAGAACCCGCAGATAATCTATCTAACGTTAGCTATCGAGGGAAACACCACCAGATTTGAGTTTATTTACAGATCAGTCAGCACTGAAGCAGCAGCTACATGGCAGAAAATGACTTTGTAGCATCTTAAATAGTCAATATATCTAATATTTCTCTTTACAAGATCATTGTAAGTATATTATAAGATAGTTGAACTTTTTTCTAGACATTTGTACTTGTTTTGAGTAAGTTTATCAGGTGAAAGTGTCTTATTCCTTGCAGATCATTTACTTGTTTTCAGAATTGACATAAATAATTTTACTTGTTGTAGGGAATGATCTGCCAAAGAAATAAGACAATTTAACAAGATATAATTAAGTAAAAATGAGTAAAAACACATCGAAACTGTGGAATAATCTTATGATATTCTTACAACAGTGTCATAATTAGACATATGAAATAAATTGACTAGATTTAAGATGTTTCTCTTACTGAGAAATCATTTATACTGCATACTTTTAATATGCACTCTCAAAAAGACGGTTCTTCAAGGGTTCTTGAGTAAAGAGAATGGTTCTACATAGGACCATGAATTGTATATAGAACCATTTGCATGCTTAAACACCCAAAGAACCATTTAAATGCTTTGCACTGTGAACTGGTTTCTTACATTTTATCTCCATCAATCTGAAGAACCATTTAACCAAGCACAGAACCATTCAAGCATGAAATGGTTCTTTGAGTGTTTTCTGTATAGAACCATTGTCTTTACTAAAGAACCCTTGGAGAACCATCTTCTTTAGGAGTGCAGGCTCTTCAAGTTCTCTCCTCTCTGAAAGTGAAGCTGCTCCACCGAAGGAGTGCCGTGTTTTGGGGGAGAAACTGGGTAAGAACCTCATTGAGGCTGTAAAGTGTGAGTCTCTCTCGGTGCCGCTGCTGTAAGGTTCTCCCTCCTATAATGACCTCCGCTGCGTCCAGTACAGATAGAACGCGGTCCATCAGGCTCATCAGAGCGTCCAGAGTGACTCAGCTGCAGAGGGCGTTCGCTCTGAAGATGAGGAAAATTCCAGCAGCTGCTCCGATCACACCGAGACACACCCCCACCACACACACCACAGAGGGAAACACACTCGACTGCTCCACCTGAACATCTACACACACACACACACACACACACACAGACACACACACACACAGACACACACACACACACACACACACATACACATACATACACACACACACACACACACACACACACAGACACACACATACACACACACACACACACACACACACACACACACAGACACACATACACATACACACAGACACACAGACACACACACACACACAGACACACACACACAGACACACAGACACACACACACAGACACACACACACATACACTCACACACACACACAGACACAGACACACACACACAGACACACACACACACACACACACACACACACACACACACAGACACACACACACACAGACACAGACACACACACACAGACACACACACACACACACACACACAGCAGAAGAGTGAAACCAGTGAGCTCTACAGGGTGCAATGATAAACAGTGTTCTGATTACTTGAAACAATCACTAAATTCATGTATTTAATTCTTTGTTTAACATGGTTTTGTTTGATGTGCAGAAATTGACGCATTACTTTATATCATTATTGAAAATACTAACAGAATTTCTCTGAAAACAAACTCAGATCTTTTTAGCATTTATAGTTTTAAAGATTAACAAATATTTTGATTTTCATTCCAAACTTTTACATTGAAAAATTCTATTTTTCATATTTCACTTGTTTATTTATTTATTTATTTATTTCACATTTATTTATTACATAGTTGCACAAGTGGCCTCAAGGTCCCTCACATACGTTATTTTTTAAAACTTACTTTTGATTTTCATAATCAGGTCAATTTTACAAAAGAAAAGTTCATTTTTTAAGCTTTACTCTTATAATTTGCGCAGTAGAGGGATAATGACTCAATGACTAGGCCTGACCTGAGTAGCATTTAAAAGACTTTGAATATTTTCTGCTATTTTGATTAAGTTTTTATTGTTACTTGTGCATTAATAAGAGCTACCATTTAAAGAATTATCCATTTACTAAGTAACATACAAAATCCTTTCATAAACTGAATAAATAAATGCTTTTTTCATAGACTGGATAAATGTGTTTGTTGACTGAACTGTGGCTTTACTGTAATAAAGTCCTGACCCCATATTCTGGTCTGCGGCTGCTCCAGCGCGCGATGCTCCACCGTACAGCTGTAAACATCTCCTTCCTCTGGAGTGAAGCTCAGCGTGGAGAACACGCTTAACGTCCCGTCACTGTTCTGGTAGTACGGGCTCAGGGTCGCGCCCTCCGTCACGTTCAGGTCGTTCTTGGTCCAGGACACTCTGACCGGCGGCGGGAAAAAGTCAGTCACGTGACAGACGAGTGTGTTCTTTGTCTTCAGCTTCACGTCGTTTTTCGGGTAGATGGAGGTCCAGGGAGGTTCTAAACACACAGAGCTAAAGTTAGCATCGGCTAGCTCTGAAGCTAGTGCTATTAGCCTATATGCTAGCAGCTTGAGCAGCAAGAGAAAGTCTACATTTCTCTTCACACGTAATTCTGAGTAGCTGTAGATGTTCGTGTTGATCCGAGTGAGCGTGGAACTCATTTTAGAGTCTACAAGCTTCTTGTGAGAAACACCACATCAGTAGGCAGTAGAACACAGAGGGAGTGTGTTACAGTGAAATAACATCACGGCTGTGATTTGGTCGCCGTAGATCATCACAGCCGTGATGTTATTGGCGATAACACACTCCTCGAGTGTTCTACTGCTTTAATACAACAGTTAAATAAATACAGTAATAAATTAATAAACTGGGCCGTGAACGCGGCGTTTAATATGTTTTAATGTTCGCAGTTCCTTCACCAAATTATAGTTCCTTAACGAGCAGCTTGTTGCTACGTCAGAGTAACGAGCTCCGCCCACTCGCTGCACAGCCGGCAGTTCGTTCTCCAGCTCCTTACACTAAATTCCCAAACTGTCATCACCACTGAGCAGCTTTTCAGTCGGCAGCTGTGACAGAAGAACAGCTAAACAACCTGGAATCAGCCAGAAATGAACCCAACACCATTCGCCAAAAAACAGACCTTGCTTTCAAAAAATTCTCAGCAGAAACAATAAATCAGCGCTAAATAAGTAACTACATTTATGTAACTGATGTTTGACAATTAATGTCTGATAGAACCTTCTAGTTCTCAGACCCCAAGAAAAGAATTCTATTCTATGCTAACCTCTGTTTCCTGATCATTTTAATATTAGAGGAGCTGAAGCTCACCCAGCTCTTCAGGTGGGTTCATATAGGCCTCGTTTAACACGGCTAACGCCTGCCTGCAGACGTTTTCTCCTCTGAGAGCTGGTTTGGACAGATCAGGGCCCTCGACTGGATCAGCGAAGTCTGGCAACGTCAGGACGGTCCGCTGGTTTTTGTAATCATAATAAACAAGCTTTTCTCCGTCGTACACAACAGAGAAATCAGCGCTGGTCTCGTCACACGCCTGTAGCAGGCTGAATCGATGAAAACCTGCAACACAATCACACCAGTGAACTCTGTTCTAGTCGTCTAGAACAGCTGTGAACATTTTAATCCATCAGGTCAACAGAAAAAACTACAGCACTGAGGCTGCTGACTGTCAAGGATCATAACAAAGACAAAAAATTATATGTTCTCTAGTGAAATTAGTGAATCTTAATTGTAGTCTATGTATCTAATATTTCTCATTTTCTAAGCTTATAAGATTATTTAACTCATTTCTAGACGTTTTATTTGTTTTAGGTAATTTTAGTAACTATAAATGATCTCACTAGATTGGCCAACAACTTTGCTTGTTGTAAGAAATATGCTTGAAAATTATCTGCCAATATATTGAGATCATTTCACTGCCTAAAATCACTAAAAACAGTAAAAATGTCTAGAAATAGGTGGAATAATCTTATAATGTTCTTAGCCCAGTTTCACAATGAGAAATATTAGATGCACTGACTAGATTTAAAATTTAAAATGTCTAGAAATATAAGTTAAATAATCCTACAATCATCTTACAATAGTCTCTCAAAGTAATGAGTAATATCAGATTCATCGACTGCACCGTAAAAAACGGCTCATTAGATCAACCTAAAAATGTAATTCATGTAGTAACGAGCAGTTGAACTACTTTTATTTAACAAAAATGTAAAAAAAATTACACTGATTTGGAGAATCATTCATTTAAAATTGTAATAAAGGTTGAATAAAGCTAGTTCATTTACTTGTCACCACATGAAGTCATTGTTTTAGGTAGATCTGATGAGCCACTTTTTACAGTGAAGATTTTAAGATAATTTCACTTGACAGGATGATTTTTTGCAGTGTACATGTAAAAGTAGATGTGCACTGCAGAAACCAATTTCTTACCAAGTGAAAACATGAAATCTAGCCAATATATCTAATATAAAAGTTCAGAGATGATGTAAGATTATTATCTTGTTCTAAGTTTTTTTTATTATTTCTAGACATTTTTTCACTTTTTTAAAATTATTTTGCTTATGGCACATTTTAAGCATTATTTCTCAAAACAAGGAAAATGATCTACCACTGGAGTAAGACACTTTCACAAGATAAAATTGCTTAAAATATGGAGGAATTAAAAAGAAATAGTTAGAATAATGTTTTAATATTCTTATATCTTATAGTCTTATTGACAGAAAGCAGTTAAAACTGCAGGCAGATGGACTAAAATGTTAATTTACTATAAATAATGTTTTTTTTATTATATATATTCTGACTCATAGTCACTTGCCATGCAGCCGATGGTGATCCAGCAAAGAACGTGCTCTGCTGATGTTCACATTGAAATATTTTTATCTCATGTAAAAGTTATTAATACATATAGCCTACACACTTAAAAACAATGGTTCTTCAAGGGTTCTTTAGTCACGGGAATGGTTCTGTTTAGAACCATGAGTTTTATAAAGAACAATTTTCATACTTAAATGGTTCTCTGCATGGTGAAATGGTTCTTCAGGTTGATGGAGAACATGCTGTAAATGGTTCTAAATAGCACCCAAATGGTTTCTTCTGTTGTTATGATGTCAAGCCTGTATCAAAAGAAGAACCCTTTTTCGTGCCACACAGAACCATTTTCAAAAAAGTTTTATATAGAACCATGTACAACACATACGCCATCAATCTGCAGAACTGTTTCACCATGCAAAGGACCATTTAAGCATAAGATGGTTCTGTATAGAACCATTCCCTTTTCTAAAAAACCCTTGAAGAACCATCTTTTTAAGAGTGTGTAGAATAGAATAATGCTTTTTGGTGCCACACAGAACCATTTTCAAAACGGTTGCATATAGAACCATATACAACACATTCTCCATCAATCTGCAGAACTGTTTCACCACGCAAAGAACCATTTCATATCGAAAGGGTTCTATATAGAACTCAAACTTGTAGTGTATACTGGTTAAACACTGAGTGTGAAAGGTTCTCTCACGTGCTGCTGTTAATATGTTGAGTTCATTATGCAGCTTATTAGGAATGAAGGAAATTGTGACACGGTGAACGTCCTGCAGATCACAGAGCTCTAGTGTACTGAACTCACCCGCCGGCTGTGAGTGGACAGAGCTGACGGTCATTAAGGTCAGGACTAACAGAGCCGCCATTTCAGAACTCGCAGCAGCCGCCTGTTAATGAGTGAGAGAGATACGTAAATCCAACAGACACACCAGCAAAGCTGGAACAATGCAGCGTATCGTGTTTCAGTGCAAACACAGTGTGTGTGAGTGTGTGTGTGTGAGTGTGTGTGTGAGTGTGTGTGTGTGTGTGTGTGTGTGTGAGTGTGTGTGTGAGTGTGTGTGTGTGTTTGTGAGTGTGTGTGTGTGTGTGTGTCTGTGTGTGTGTCTGTGTGAGTGTGTGTGTGTGTGTGTGTGTGTGTGAGTGTGTGTGTGTGTGCGTGTGTGTGTGTGTGTGTCTGTGTGTGTCTGTGTGAGTGTGTGTGTGTGTGTGTGTGTGTGTGTGTCTGTGTGTGTCTGTGTGAGTGTGTGTGTGTGTGTGTGAGTGTGTGTGAGTGTGTGTGTGTGTGTGTGTGAGTGTGTGTGTGTGTGTGCGTGTGTGGGTGTGTGTGTGTCTGTGTGTGTCTGTGTGAGTGTGTGTGTGTGTGTGTGTGAGTGTGTGTGTGTGTGTGTGTCTGTGTGTGTCTGTGTGAGTGTGTGTGTGTGTGTGTGTGAGTGTGTGTGTGTGTGTGTGTCTGTGTGTGTCTGTGTGAGTGTGTGTGTGTGTGCGTGTGTGGGTGTGTGTGTGTCTGTGTGTGTCTGTGTGAGTGTGTGTGTGTGTGTGTGTGAGTGTGTGTGTGTGAATGTGTGTGCATGTGTGTATGGGGGTGTGTCTGTGTGAGTGTGTGTGTGTGTGTGTGAATGTGTGTCTGTGTGTGTGTGTGTGAGTGTGTGTGTGTGTATGGGGGTGTGTCTGTGTGAGTGTGTGTGTGTGTGTGTGTGTGTGTGTGTGTGTGTGTGTATGGGGGTGTGTCTGTGTGAGTGTGTGTGTGTGTGTGTGTGTGTGTGTGTGTGTGTGTGTGTATGGGGGTGTGGTATAACACTGTGTTTTTTGTGGTTTTACTTCCTTCTTCTGTTCTGTAATCACGGGCAGTCGAGCGTTATCAGAGTTTTTCCATGTAAATTATGATGGGTTTGTTTTCGTCATGAAACTGAAAATGAAGGGACGTGTATTAAAATGAGAACAAATGCTGAAATATCACACTTTGTATCTTACAAAATGTGGAACTCCACAAAATTCCACTGATTTCTCAAAATTTCTTCATTATAAAATAGTTAAAAAGTTCACTTAGAGCGGTTTGGTGTGGAATTCTCTGTTCTCTCAAGGTTCTTTAAGGGTTCTTTAGTGAAGAAATTGGTTATAAATAGAACCGTGAACACTCAAAGAACCATTTGCATGCTGAAATGGTTCTTTGCACCATGACAGCGTTTTTCAGGTTGATGGAGAATGTGCTGGAGATGGTTCTGTGTAGAACCTTTTTGAAAAGGGTTCTATATAGCACCAAAAAAGTTCTATTGCTACACTCTTCAAAAAGATAGTTCTTCCAGGGTCCTTTAGTAAAGAAGATTGTTCTATAAAGAAACATGAACACTCAAAGAACCCTAATCATGATTAAAAGGTTCTTAGGACTGTGCTGTATAACACTTGTAATAATAGAAGAACCCTTTTTGTGTGTTATAGAGAACCAGTTTCAGAAAGGTTTGTATGTAGAATCATATACAACACATTCTCCATCAACCTGAAGAACCATGTCACCGTGGAAAAAAACACTTAAGCATAAAATGGTTCTAAATGGAGCCCCAGGGTTCTACAGTATATCCATAATTACCTGGGTCATTCTACAGAGACGTCCACTGTTCTGTCTCTCCATAGGAGTCACTGGTGTTACTGATCCTCATTGGTGTCACACATAATAAAGGAACACCAGAGACATTTTAATGAACGATGCATTTTACAAAATAACTGCTACAGAGCATCAAACCACATGTTGTCAGTCATGGAAAATCCACTAAAATATGGAATTTAATCCATTTGTGTTCTAGTTTTTCACAGTTACCTCAGAATAAAGTCGGTCACACCAGTGACTTCAGCTAAGAGCTTCATATGAAATCATGAGCTAAATGAGAAAATCTCTGATAACTGAAAGACACAGTGGACTCACCATGAGCTTTTCTTCATAGATCCTCAGAAAACAGGCAAAAGGAAGTCGAGTGATGTCATCAGTGTGACTTTTATTTCAAAATAAGAGACTTTTTGTTACGCAGTAACACCAGTGACACGACTCCTGGGGACAACAACTTTCATTATATATTTTATAATATTTAGTTGGTGTTTGTTTCTTTGTTATTTAAATCATATATTTCATAGTCATGTATAGATTATTGTAGTTAAAATAGCAGAAAAACGTTTTTTACTTCAAAATATGGCCTCAGCCTTCACACACGACTGTGGGGACGAGCTCTTTTGTGGTGCTTGGAATTCTATATGATTGATTTAAAAACCAATATTGCTGAATTGAGGCTCAAGAAGGTGGAATTGATAAAGTAACGTATTGTTTTAGTTTAAAATGTAAATAAATTGTAACCCTGACATGTTTTTCAGGTGTAATATATCTGTAAACGCTCTGTTTCCGTAGAATGACCCACCTGCTTTATCCCCAGCAGTAACCAGGTTCAGTCGTCCTCCTCTCTGTGGTCCCTGCTGGTGTGTTTAGTGTTAAAGAGGGAACTGAGAGCAGATCAGACTCAGCTGTGGAAACTTCTTCCTGGTTCTGAGCTGTAATGAAAGCAGAGGCAGTCGAGCAGTTGGTTAATCACCCTGAGAGTCAGAGCAGGACATACAACGATGCCTCCTGTTCTCCACCTAACCGTGTTCCTCTGGGTTCTATCTGCAACAGGTAAGATGAGATTTACTGTATGTGTTTATGTAAACAATACTGTTAACCAGTCCAGCTGAGAAAATGGTTGAAAATGGTTTATCTGAGAGTGTTTTTGCATATTAAAACACTGTATCCAGGGTCGTTTTGTCCCTTAGAGGGCGCCAGGGTGCCACCCAACCTGTTTAATGGGCAACACAAAGAAACATGACTGTATGATATTAAAACTCAACTGTTTTTCATATGCAAATTCTGTTTACAACAACACAGCCATCACCAGTGTTTGGGTCTGGTCCTGTGAGCGGCTCTGAATTAAGGTCCTGTTTCAGTAGAACGTGTCACTGTGGAAGGGTTAGTCAGTCTAGGCTGTTCCTATGTTCTCTGCTTCATTTTGTGCTGTATGGCATACATGCTACATACACACAGATCAGGCATAACATTCTGACCACCTTCTTGTTTCTACGCTCATTGTCCATTTTATCAGCTCCACTTACTCTATAGGTGCACTTTGTAGTTCTACAGTTACAGACTGTAGTCCATCTGTTTCTCTGATACTTTGTTAGCCCCCTTTTACCCTGTTCTTCAGTGGTCAGGACCCCATGGACCCTCACAGAGCAGGTACTATTTGGGTGGTGGATCATTCTCAGCACTGCAGTAACACTGACGTGGTTTTGGTGCGTTAGTGTGTTGCGCTGGTCTGAGTGGATCAGACACAGCAGTGCTGCTGGTAAACACCTCAGTGTCGCTGCTGGACTGAGAATAGTCCACCAACCAAAAATATCCAGCCAACAGCGTCCTGTGGGCAGCGTCCTGTGACCACTGATGAAAGACTAGAGGATGACCAACACAAACTGTGCAGCAGCAGATGAGCTATCGTCTCTGACTTCACATCTACAAGGTGGACTGACAAGGTAGGAGTGTCTAATAGAGTGGACAGTGAGTGGACACAGTGTTTAAAAACTCGAGCAGCACTGTTGTGTCTGATCCAGTCAGACCAGCGCAACACACACTAACACACCACCACCACGTCAGTGTTACTGCAGTGCTGAGAATGACCCACCACCCAAATAGTACCTGCTCTGTGAGGGTCCATGGGGGTCCTGACCACTGAAGAACAGGGTAAAAGGGGGCTAACAAAGTATCAGAGAAACAGATGGACTACAGTCTGTAACTGTATAACTACAAAGTGCACCTATATAGTAAGTGGAGCTGATAAAATGGACAATGAGCGCAGAAACAAGGAGGTGGTCAGAATGTTATGCCTGATCAGTGTGTATGTGTGTATATATATATATATATATATATATATATATATATATACATATATATGTGTATATATTGAGCATCGTTTCAGGTGTTGCACCTGAATTTCACCGTAGGTCAACATGCGAAGACAATAAAAGGAATCTTAATAGTAAACTGACTAAACGAAGGGTTAATTAAACCAGTTTAACTTAATGAGGGATTGATTAAACTGATTTAAACATGTTTGATTATGCTGGCTTACTGTTGAGTATGAGCATTAGCTCTACTGTGTTTCCATATGGTGCTCACATTTTACATGTTTGTAATGCATATTCATTTTTAAAAGCTGAGCTGTGATTAATTCATTCTAATATTTTTCTCTTCTTTTTCAGTGGACAGTTATTACTTCTTCTATTCCGTTGAGTGCCGGATCCTCGGCTCGCCCCAGAACATTGAGGTTCTTATATCCTTGGTGTACAACAAGGGGAAGGTCCTGACGTACAACAGCACTGAGAATAAAGTTGTTGCTTACAGTGAATATGGAACAAAATGGGCAAAAGACTTCAACAGCAAACCGAACTGGCTGCGCATGGAGGCAGAAAAGGTTATCTCAGAGTGCAGAGAGTACGGAGGACAGCTGTCTGCAGTGGACAAAGCAGGTGGGAAATAAAGACTGTTTATCTTTACACTGTTTACATCAGTACAGCAGAACAGAAATGCTTGTAAAAACTCTAGAGAGGCTAAAAAATTCTAGCAAGAGGCTACAAAACTCTAGAGAGGCTAGGAGGCCCACTGGCTTTTGGCTCAGCGCTTTCCAGGTGAGTGTTAGTCAAAACGTCACTTTTAATCTCTCATTCTAATCCAGTCCAGTTTATTCCAAGTTCAGTTTACTAATTTTCCTCCTTTTCTTTCCTTTATTATTCTTTGTAAATGATTTTAGTTCATATTTTTAACAGCTTTATCAGAAATAAAGCCAGTTATAAAGCTGTAACCAATCTAGCAGCAACATTTTCAAATAAATCATTTTTTTAGCCCTAGTTATCGTCTCTGACTTTACATCTACAAGGTGGACTGACAAGGTAGGAGTGTCTAATAGAGTGGACAGTGAGTGGACACAGTGTTTAAAAAACTCCAGCAGCACTGCTGTGTCTGATCCACTCAGACCAGCACAACACACACTAACACACCAACACCATGACCGCTGCGTCACGAAATGCCGCTCCTGTCAAGTTCTTTAAAGATGGAGCCAGAAACTGATTTTATTTCTTCATTTATTAGAGCTGGAGATGCAGTTTTTCTTCAGACCACATCTGCTTTTTAACATCTGTATCATTGGCCACCTCAGTTTAAACCCAATACTGACATTTAAGGCGTCTCCTCAGCTGCCGTTCGCTCCTCTGCTGATGCTGCCATGTTCTCGAATCCTCGCTGGCACACAGTGAACCTCTGGATCTTTTGGCTGGTAAGGGATCCACCCGTTGGATCCTTCGTTGCCATGGAAAAGAAGGACACATTTCTCAGCCGCATATGAAGGAGGCTTCAAAATGGGACAGCCTAGTCGCGCTGCTGTGACGCAGCCAGCCTTCAAATGCAGCCTCTGAGAGATGCAGCCCCTGAATTGGGACACAGCTTTTAATTTTTTTTCTCTTAATTGCTTATTTTCCAAAATAAAAGTCTGTGTGCGTTTAAAATCTGTTTGAGGAGATTAGTTAGTTCTTGTACGCAGGACAGTATGAGGGATAGTCCGAGGGTGGACCAGGAGTGGTGTGCAGTCATCCTGGTGCTGACCTTATCGAGCCAGCAGGCCGATATTTATGCTCGCTGTCAGGGTGTAGTTCATCAGCCAAGACATGTTTGGTGTCTGATCTTTGCTTTAGCACTAAGAGGCTAACGTAGCTAACAAGTAATGGAACTTTATTTTTAGCAATTAGCCACCCATTAGCATAGCGCTAACTACATGCCTAAATCATCATACGCTCAGTTCGGACTGTGTGGAGGTGTTCAGGATCTCTAACAGACTTGATGATGTGGTTTCTGACTCTGTGTGACTCACTGTTATCTGTAAACATGGACTGAAGTACATTTGCATAGCTAAACATGCTAGCAGCCATCTTGAACAATAGCCAGTCTAGGCGAGAGAAAGACGTGCACAGAGGAGCTGCTTGTTGAGTTCAGAGAAAATAATGACTTTCTTTACAGTTTAAAGTCGGTTCGTAGTGAAATACTTATCCAGCTCTGACTGTCATATCTGAGTTTCAACCTCATATTCACCCCCAGTTCGTGTGTTCGTCACTAATTAAAAGAACAAACAGGTCCAGTCCAGTTTGGCTTTGTTTGCCTTGTGTGAAAACAGGGCAGATCTCAGATTTTGTGTTTTGTGTGCTCTTTTTTTATATTACCGTTTCTTTAGTAAAAGCAGTTGTTTTATATAGAACAATGAACACTCAAAGAACCATTTGCATGCTTAAGTGGTCTTTTGCATGGTGAAATGGTTCTTCAGATTGATGGAGGAAGTGTTTTGTTATAGTTCTATATAGTTCTGCTATTGGTCAGGTTCCCCATACAAAGAACAATTTAAGCATGATATTTTTTTTCTGTTTTGTCAGGGTTTAGCAGGAGTGAGTTCCTACTTATTCAGGCTTATATATCTTTAAAACAATCTTCATTCATCCAACAGTGTGTTGACAGATTATGTATCCAAGGAGTTGTAAATAAAGGAAGAACACTAATGGCCCTAAAACAGAGCCCTGTGGGACACCATACTGCACTTTTCTATGTTCAGCACACTCCCCATTTGCTGCACTTTTGTCCATGACAACTCAACAATAACTTAACAGTCTAACAGAGGACTGCTTATGTTTCAGATGAGTATAAGCTTTGGCAATTCTTTTAACACAAGGCAATCAGTTTCTGTCTAAATATGTAAAGACAATTTTTAGAATTTACATATTTATTTTAAAATTAAATGCCAAGTCTCCCTGCAGATCAAGTATACTTTAAAAATAACTAGGCAATGACTTTGAATAAAATAATTTTTTTTAGCTTGAGTCTGGTTTTAATCTGTGTCTATAAACCTGTAAATATATTTCAACAACTAAACAA